TCGTAATACTATAGTAAGATATTTTGGTTTGATTGTATCAAAATTTTGGTTTCTAACCGAACCGATTGACAATCGATTTGGTGTAGTTTTATTTGAAAATCGATTCGGGTCAATAAAAATATATAATTTTTTTTGGTACAAAAAAAGTTTAGGTCAGGGATGGCTCTCCCAGTCTAGGGTCAGAGTATACCTAAGACTTAATTAGAATTTACATAGGAATTTACAGATTATCCACCAATAATGACAATGATATGATTCGAGTATGCCCCCACTTAGGCCAGTTACTCATCCCTAAACAGTTGTTGATTTGTGCCCCCACTTCATGTTTAAAAAAACAAAGAGGAGCAAGAATAAGCAAGGATGGATAGAGAGGATCGGACGGAACATTCAAATATTTTCTTTATAATTTCTATTGGTGATCTATTTTCACCCCTAAATTTTATAAATTCACTCCTTAAAATTTTATAATCTCGTCACTCCTGACATAAAATTTTACGTTTTTCTACGAGAACAACTAAAATAATTTATTGAGCTCTTGTGAAAAAGATGATTTGAGATCAATCTACGAGACAGGCAAAATGCGTATATCTATTAGAATACCAATATCTAAAACAATCTGGTTCAATTCATGAAAAACAAACAAGCATAAGTTCAACAAAGATTGCTGCTTGAAAGACGTGAGAGAGACTTCATCCAACCAAACCTCAAGCCTAGAAAAAATAGAAAGAAGAGCAAGAAATTACAACAGAACAATCAATCCTCAGTACGGGTGAACATGGGATGTCAGTCTCAACCTACCTTGTTAGCTATGTTGTTCGACAACCAAAACAATGACTGGTTGGTTACATTCTATAAAAAATGCTTTTATAAGTAATAATCTGTACATAAGAAACAGGGGAAAGCTTAATGTGATAAACTATGTGTCGCAACCGTCTTTCGGTTGAGCCCCAGAATTGGGCTTCGACTTGAAAAATGTGGATTGGAGTCGCCACCGATCATTTATTTAAAAATAAATGGGTTGATCGGATACCCTATTTATTACCTGATCTACGTCTTTCCAAAGATGTGTCGGGTTCGGGAGTCGGTTACGATTAAGGAAGGATTAGCACCCTTGAACCGTCCTTTCGGTACTACGCACTTTCCAGTTGTCTTTGATTAAGAAAATTGCATTTTAAATTAAAAGGTAAAATAGTGATCCAAAACTTACCTTTGACGGATTTAAATCATGCCTTTTAAAGAAAATCATAAAATGTTAGATGAAAAGTAAGGAATAAATGAATAAAATAAACAAACCCAAAATAAAACAGAAGAAAGAAATGGTAAATAAATGACTTAAAAAAATAAAAAAAAGATAAAAAAAAAGATAATAAACAAATAAAATAAACAAATAAACAAATTAGAAAAACCAAATGAAAATGAAAAATGAAAATACAATATTAAGTAAAATAAAAAGTAATAACATAATAAAATATGAAAATACTAATATAGTTATTAGGTAAAAATAATAATGATAATAGTAAATAGTAAAAAATTGAAAATAATCCCACCGAAAAAAAAGATCTAAGTTCGGTGAAGCATGAATAACGGGAAGAAAGGAAAAAAGAGAGAAAGTGGACCCTAGCTAATAAATGTGAGGTGATGTATTATAATAGAGTGTTTAATAAAATGTAAATATATATATATATATATTAGTTAAAACAAAAATAATAGGTAAAATATATATAAATAAAATACCTAAAATAAAAATAATATATAATAATAATAAAGAAAACGAATAAAGAAAATTAAAAAACGTATATATATATATATACATACATAAATAAGTAAAAAAATAGTAATAATAGAAATAATAAGGATAATATAAAGAATAATAATAATAAAATAAAAATGGTAAAGAGTATAAAAAGAAATAAGTAAATATATACATATATAATATAATATAATAACAATATATATATATATATATAATAAAACGTAATATATAAAAAAAAGATTTAAAAAATACGAATTGAATTTAACAGGGACCAAATTGAAAGTAAAACGAATGGAGTGGTCGAATTAGAATAACATTGGAGTTTGAGAACCGGATTTGGGGATCAAAATAACAGACTTTTAAAATCGGAGGGACCAAAAGCGGGTTTACCCTAATTTATTACAAAAAGCACGAATCTGATATAAACATGGATCAAATGTTTTTTTAGTTTCATTTTCTCTTCTTCTCTCGCCGCAACCCTCCCTCTTTCTCTGATTTTCTCGAATGTTCTTCACCAACGAAGAACGAGGGTCTCGCTTTCCAGAAGAAAACAACGGCTTTTTCAAAGAAAATGGCCTCGGGAGGGTGGATCTAGCAAGATCTTCTCGAAAAGCCCCTCCCCGGGTCCTCGGCCTTCCATTTTTTGACTGTTTTCAAGCCAAACCACAAGCACAAAATGACATGCAAAGGAAGAGATGAACGAACAAAGGTAAAACGAATTACTACCTCTTTATTTCTATGCAAATCGTTTACAAATGCTTTGAGTTTGCTTCGGTTTTCTGTGATGTTTTCGTGACCTCTCTCTCGTAATATTCCGTGTGTAATTGTGTGATAATTTCTCTGTAACCTTGTACAAACTTGTGTGTCTGTGTCAATTTTTTTTTTGCGGCTCCCCCCCTTTTGAATGTGATTACATGGGTATTTATAGTACAAAAGAGACCCTATTTTTAGGAGTCCTAATGGCATACAAATTGCTCTTTTAACGTTTGTTGGCGGTTACCTTGCGAGGTTCTTGCGTCGGACGGTTCGGCGTGAAGATCGGAGGTGCGGGTGAGGAAGAGTCCTCGCGAGAAACGGCGCCTGCTTGCTAAGTTCTGGAAACCCTAGCCCCGGATTGATTCGGTGTTGAGGGCTTGGACCGGTTCACGCGGGTTGCAGCTGATTGACCGGTTCGTGTGTGCTGCTGGGCCACTCATAATCCTGATACAGAAATGAAACGAATATGTTAGTTTAATAATAATAATAATAATTGTACAATATATATATATATATAAATATATATGTTTATTTCAGTCATAAAAAGTGTGTCTACAGCTGCCCCTCTTTGCCCATAGTCGTGTAACAAGGATAGGGAAAAGATTAAAAGACACACTTTTCGTTTACCATAAAGTGGTCAAATCCCATCGAATATCCTCTATTGTAGAGTTGAAATTCGATATAGAAATGACTCCCTTGTCGTGGGGTTGAGTCAAAACTGGAAGATTCTGAGCACGAAATCCTTCGTTGCGAAGTTGAAGACGAGCTCAAAGCTTTTGACAAGTGGCCTCTGAATCATCTTCTGGTTCAAGGTACTTCGTCGTGAAGGTGACCCTTGATCTGAAGACTATGGCGTTGTGGTGTTTACAGATGACTCCTTCGTCGCGAAGTTAGATCAATCTATTTGTGAAGTTGGTATTGTATATAGCTCATTCGTCGTGAAGTTGAACTTATACTGTCTTGAGTCCTTCGTTGTGAAGTTGAAATTGGCTCTGAGGTTGGGAAGTTATTTATTGACAACCAGCGGTCCCTTCGTCGTGAAGTTGAACTTGCGTTGTCTGGAGTCCAATATCCTTCGCTGTGAAGTTGAAATTGGCTCTGAAATTGAGAAGTTGTTTGTTGACAACCAGCGGTCCCTTCGTCGTGAAGTTGAACATGCGTTGTCTGGAGTCCAATATCCTTCGCTGTGAAGTTGAAATTGGCTCTGGAATTGAGAAGTTATTTGTTGACAACCAGCGGTCCCTTCATCGTGAAGTTGAACTTGCGTTGTCTGGAGTCCAATATCCTTCGCTGTGAAGTTGAAATTGGCTCTGAAATTGGGAAATGTTTATTGACAACCAGCGGTCCCTTCGTTGTGAAGTTGAACTTGCGTTGTCTGGAGTCCAATATCCTTCGTTGTGAAGTTGAAATTGGCTCTGAAATTGGGAAATGTTTATTGACAACCAGCGGTCCCTTCGTCGTGAAGTTGAACTTGCGTTGTCTGGAGTCCAATATCCTTCGTTGTGAAGTTGAAATTGGCTCTGAAATTGAGAAATTGTTTGTTAACAACCAGCGGTCCCTTCGTCGTGAAGTTGAACTTACGTTGTCTGGAGTCCAATATCCTTCGTTGTGAAGTTGAAATTGGCTCTGAAATTGAGAAATGTTTATTGACAACCGGCGGTCCCTTCGTCGTGAAGTGGAACTTGCGTTGTCTGGAGTCCAATATCCTTCGTTATGAAGTTGAAATTGGCTCTGGGTAAAACCTGCAAAGATGTGCATATATGCGATGGTATGGATGTCATGCTCTTAGGTATGCCTAAAAATGTATGGGCAACATATGTTATTCTGGGCTCTGGAGAGAAATCTTGATTTCCGGTGGCCTGTCGTTGTTGACTCTTGAAAGCTTGAAGTTCCGATCTCTGATCTTGAATTCTTCAAATGTCTGAATCTGATGTGCACATTCTGGTTTTTTTTTTTTTTTTTTTTTTTGGAGATGCTCCTCAACCCTCTCAAGCATGTGCATGAGCCTTGATCGGCTTCTGGGTACCTGTACTTTTCAATGAATCTTTGTACAGTAATATGCGATTATCTTTCATAAAAAATAAATAAACCATTAGGTTTAAATCTAATTCAAGATGCTCGAAAGGAATTGGAGGAAAGATGGTCTTTATTCATAAGGGAGGAGAAGAACAAATAATACATGGCAAACATTCTAGAAGACGAATACACAATTATGTGTAAATGAATGTCTTAGATCTCAATAACGTGGGCACTTCTGAGCTGAAAAGCCGTTTGGTGACTTTGAATGCAGCCTTTGCCAAAGGATCTTTGAAAATGCGACAACGTTTGGGAGAGTGCAACATTTCTTCGATTTGTTGAGTTCGTGGAAGATTCATGTGCCGGGATGTTTCCACCGTTAATATCCAAATCGCCCTTTCCGGGTTTTCAACTTGGACCCATCATTGGTTGCAAGACGCCCTTTGCGGGTTTTCATCTTGAACCCACCTTATTTTCTCTTCTTTTTTTCCTCTTTTTCTTTTTTCAATTTAGGGCGCCCTTTCGGGTTTTCACCCTAAACGTTCTTTTTTTTTTTAACTTAGGACGCCCTCTCGGGTTTTCATCCTAAGCGAAGTATTTCTTGATTGCATCCGAGTTAATGGGATGTGGCAGCTCAGGTCCGTCCATTTCAGCCAGGATAAGGGCTCCTCCGGAGAAAGCCTTCTTCACGACATAAGGTCCTTCCCAATTTGGCGTCCATTTTCCTCGGAAATCTTTCTGGACTGGCCAAATTCTTTTTAGCACTAGATCCCCTTCACGGAATATTCTTGGGCGCACCTTTTTGTCATGTGCTCGGATTATTCGTTTCTGATAGATTTGACCATGATGAATGGCTTTCAGTCTTTTTTCATCTATTAGATTAAGCTGATCATATCTGGATTGTGCCCACTCTGCATCATCCAGTTTGACTTCTGACAAGACCCTGAGAAACGGAATCTCGACTTCAATGGGTAGCACTGCTTCCATTCCATAGGCTAGTGAAAATGGAGTTGCCCCAGTCGAAGTTCGTACCGAAGTTCGATAAGCGAACAAAGCAAAAGGCAACTTCTCATGCCAGTCTTTGTAAGTTTCAGTTGTTTTCTCCACTATCTTCTTAATATTTTTGTTTGCTGCTTCTACTGCTCCGTTCATCTTTGGTCTGTAAGCAGTTGAATTGTGATGTTTTATGTTGAACTGTTCGCAGGCAGCACTCATCATCTTGTTGTTCAAGTTTGTTGCGTTATCGGTGATAATCCTTTCGGGTAAACCATACCGACATATAATTTCTTTCTTCAGAAACTTGCAAATAGTGGATTGAGTGACACTGGCGTATGACGCAGCCTCTACCCATTTCGTGAAATAGTCAATTGCTACGAGAATGAAATGGTGACCATTCGAAGCCTTCGGATGGATTTGCCCGATAACGTCCATGCCCCACACAGAGAAAGGCCATGGTGACGTCATTACATGAAGCGGATGGGGTGGAACATTTATCTTGTCTCCATAAATCTGACATTTATGACATCTCCTAGCATAGTTGATGCAATCACTTTCCAGTGTGGACCAAAAATATCCGCATCTCATTATTTGTCTTGACATCATATGCCCATTTGCATGTGCTCCACAAACCCCATCATGTACTTCTTCCACTATCATTTTTGCATCTTCAGCATCGACGCACCTTAACAGAACTTGGTTATGGCTTTTCTTGTATAAAACCTCTCTGTCAAGGACATATCCAGCTGCCAACCTTCTAAGGGTTCTCTTCTCGATTTCAGTGGTTTTTTCTGGATAACTCCGATGCTTGATATACTGCAGAATGTCGTAGTACCAAGGCTTAGTGTCTTTCACTTCTTCAATTTGGTAACAATGAGCTGGGTATTCATACGACTGCATGTTAATTGGCATCATTTCAGACTCCCCGCCAGCCTTGAATGTGGCTGCCAAGGTAGCTAAAGCGTCAGCCATTTGATTTTCTTCTCTAGGCACGTAGTGGAAGGTGACTTCGTAGAACTCTTCGAGCAGATCCAACACTAGTTTTCGGTACTCTAATAGCTTTATATCCTTGGTTTCCCACTCTCCTCGGAGCTGATAGATTACTAAGGCTGAGTCTCCATACACTCGCAAAGTCTTTATATTTTGCCCCAGTGCAGCCCGAATTCCCAAGACACAGGCTTCATATTCTGCCATGTTATTGGTACAATCAAAGTTCAGTCTGCTGGTAAATGGGTAGTGACTCCCTTCTGGGGAGACTAGAACTGCCCTGATGCCATGTCCTAGTGCATTTGATGCCCCATCGAAGTGCATTCTCCAGGAACTGTCCGCTAAAATGCTTGCTTCCTCTAAAGATATGGCCATTAAGTCTTCGTCTGGGAAATCAAAGTCCAGCGGCTCATAGCTCTCATCAGTTCTGCTTGCCAAAAAATCGGATATGGCGCTGCCTTTTACCGCTCTTTGGCTCACGTATTCGATGTCAAATTCAGACAAAAGCATCTGCCATCGGGCTAACCTTCCGGATAGAGCAGGTACACCCATCATGTATTTTAGAGGGTCTAACTTGGAAATCAGCCAAGTGGTGTGATACAACATGTATTGTCGAAGTCTTTTTGTAGCCCAGACTAGGGCACAATAAACCTTCTCAATAGGAGGATATCGGACCTCGCAATCGGTGAACTTCTTGCTTAAGTAGTAGATGGATCTTTCCTTCTTCCCAGACTCGTCGTGTTGACCCAGGACACACCCCATGGAGCTCTCGAATATGGAGAGATACAAGAATAGAGGTTTTCCTGGGATAGGGGACATCAGGACAGGAGTGCGAGATAAGTACTCTTTTACCTTCTCGAATGCAATCTGATAGTTTTCATCCCATGCCCCAGGGCTATTTTTTTGAAGAAGGCGAAAGATTGGATCACACTTGTCGGTTAACTAAGATATAAACCGAGCTATGTAATTCAATCTTCCTAAAAAAACTTGGACCTCCTTTTGTGTTTGTGGTGGAGGTAGACTCTGGATAGCCTTGACTTTATCAGGATCAACCTCAATGCCTTTTCTACTGACTACAAAGCCTAATAGCTTCCCGGATGTCACCCCGAAGGTGCACTTGCTAGGATTCAGCCGTAACTGAAATTTTCTCAATCTCTGGAAGAGCTTTCTCAAATTCTCGACATGTTCATTCTCAGTCTGTGCCTTGACAATCATGTCGTCGACATAAACCTCGATTTCTTTGTGCATCATGTCGTGGAACAGGGTCACCATGGCTCTCTGATATGTTGCCCCAGCATTCTTTAATCCGAAAGGCATCACTTTGTAACAGAAAGTTCCCCACATTGTGACGAAAGTGGTCTTCTCCATATCTTCCGGATGCTTCTTGATCTGATTGTACCCCGAAAATCCGTCCATGAACGAAAAGTATGCATTCCCGGCCGTATTATCCACCAGAGTGTCTATGTGTGGCAGAGGAAAGTTGTCCTTGGGACTGGCCTTATTAAGGTCCCGGTAATCGACACACATGCGCACTTTCCCGTCCTTCTTCGGCACAGGCACTATGTTGGCCACCCACTCAGGGTATTTGGCTACTTGGAGAAAACCGGCATCAAATTGCTTCTTGACTTCTTCCTTGATCTTAAGGAGCATTTCTGGTCGCATTCTTCTCAGTTTTTGCTGCACAGGTTTGAATTCTGGTTTGATTGGCAGTTTGTGAACTACCATATCTGTGTCTAGTCCCGGCATGTCTTGATACGACCAAGCAAACACATCTCCGTACTCCTGAAGTAAGACTATCAGGTTTTTTCTTGCTTCAGTTGAAAGAGTTGTGCCGATTTTAACCTCCTTTCGATCTTCCTCAGTGCCCAAATTTATGATTTCGATCGCCTCCTCATGTGGCAGTATTTGCTTTTCTTCTCTTTCTATCATTCTCAACAATTCGGTAGGCAAGTTGTACTCCTCTTCATTATTGCATTCCTCAAATTCCCCAAGACAAATGGTTGATTCAAAATCCACCTCTGGGTCAGGATCATCAGTGCCCACATTATCGTTATCTGGGAACCTGAAAGGAAGAAGATATGCATGTGTGAGAGGATAATATCCCACACGGAACGGTCAAGAATTAACTTTGAGAGTAACTGGAAATGAAGTACTGGAATGAAGGAGATAGAGAATGAATTCAAAAAGAAAGGTTTGTTTGCCTTGGAAAAGAAAAATGCATCTTTTATTAAACTTAAACCAAATGTTTATTTACCCTTACAAAAGATCACCTATTGCCCCGGGTATAGGCAAATAGGGATAGTTCGAATATTACTCTGAAAGATTCTTGTAAACCACAGGTAGTTCCTCCACCGACCAACTGCTAGGTACAAACCCATGTGGCAGAGGGCATATCCTGGATCCATCTCCGTTGTCAACATCTTCTGTGGTCACGACATTAACGTTCAGATCTTCCAGAGCCGTTTCTAACTCGGATATGGTGGTCTCAAACACATAACCACCTGACTTGAATGTTTTGAAGAGCGGCGGGAATGTCATAGGCTTCCATTGGAGTTCGTTTCCAGTCAATCTGGCCAACCTTCTCTCCCGGTTCTTTTGGATCTCCTTTCTCTTTTCATGATAACTGGGCTGAAAACCAAGCCCAAATTGGTCTAATTTTGAGATTGGAAGGACAGGATTGATCATCCCTTGCAAATATTTCCCAAAACCTTTCCCGGTTCTGGCGCCTTGGCCCAGGGTTTGCTTGATCTCCATCCTTGTGCATTTGGAGAGTCGAGGTCTTGGGATTCTCTTTCCTTCCGCCACGAATGTGGCATTCACAAACTCCAAGGAGCGGAACGAACATTCTACTGCTTCCTCGTCTACTACTTCGATGTATGGAGCCTCCGTGGTCACGCTTGCCACGATATCTTCCTCAGCGTTGATGATTACTAAGGCCCCGTCAATGACAAATTTAACTTTCTGGTGCAACGTGGAGGGTACTGCACCTGCTTGATGAATCCACGGCCTTCCCAAAAGACAACTATAGGACGGCATGATATCCATCAGAAGGAACTCAACATCATAGGTGGTTGGTCCGATGGTCAATGGTACCTCGATCTTTCCGATTACCTCTCTTTTGGTCCTATCAAATGCTCAGACCACATTCTGACAAGCTCTCATATGAGAGGTATCTATTGGTAGCCTCTTCAATGTAATCGAATGCATCACGTTTAGGGCTGAACCATTATCGATTAAGACACTTGGTAAAGCGTGCCCCTTACAGTAGGTAGTAATGTGTGTAACGCCTTCGTTCGGCCTCTTCCTCCTGATGGAATCTCATCATCTGAAAACGAGATGAGATTATCAGCTTGAATATTGTTCACCAGTCGATCCATCTTGCTGACTGGTATGTCTTGTGGCACAAACGTTTGATTAAGGACATTCAACAACGCTTCTCGGTGTGCTTCCGAGCTTAAAAATAGTGCTAGCATTGAAGTACGTGTAGGTAAGTTGTGGAACTGTTC